GGGTCCTTTCTATGGGAAAGCATGTGGAAAAATGCCTCTTTCATTTTTCGAAAACAGTATATTGAGGCACCGTTACTGGAGTGGAGGCATCCTGACCTAGGGAGGGATCTATCTGCAGGAGTATAGTTTGGCAAGTTTTTCTAAGTAGGTTTTAGGTTGGTACAAGGAAATTGTTGAACAAATGTTTTCATGTCTTATGGGGGGAAAACTTCAATTAGGATAGAACAAGTTCAGAGAGGTTGAAAATGAACTTATGACTTTCCAAGAATTGCAGGCTACATGCATTGGAATGCCAGAGGAGGCAGTGGGCCCTCTGCCTACAGAGTTTAGTTGCATATAAGCCTAAAGTGTGGGGTCATGAATATATTAACAAGGTTATGAATATGTTAACTGAACTGTGCCCAAATAATTTTAAGTTCTCTGGTTTCTTACTTCTCAACATCTACCATGAGCAGTAATATCAGGTGACCTGGGAGCCTATTAGAAATGTAGAAGTTCAGGCCCTACATCAGAACTAATGAATCAGGATAGCATGTTTAATGAGATCCTCAGGAGGAGTGTGTCTTTCTCTTCTAGAGTACTCTGCTACCCACAATTAAATGCAGTGTTTAGAATTCTTAAAATGATTATGAAAAGCTTTTATCAGAGTGTAATTGACAAAGAGCTGTCTGGTGATCATGTTTTCCTTCTCACTTTTTCAAATGTCATTTAGTTAATTGACTTACTGAACATTTCCAAAAACATTCATTGAAAACTATAAGACTTAAAGTTCTGACAGAGGCAAATAAACCAATTTTCAAAACTGGCCTCCTCTCTTTTAGTAATTCTTGCATCAATATTATGACATGTACAAAATCAGTAAAGATGTGTGTAATAAAATAGGAGAGGATCTGAAATCCAATTACTGATTCAAGTGTGGCCTCAGCAGAAGCATCAGTGGGCTTGGGTTGGACTCTTCCTGCTAGCTAGATGGGTCAGTCATCTTTCCCTGGCCTTAGTTTCCTCATCTGTGAAATAAAGAGCAACTGATATGGCCTCTAGGATGTTCTAATGTCCTCTGAGCTGCAGTACTCCCAAGGAAAGCATAGAAAATTTAATTTCCTTTAATTAAATCACTGCATTTAATCCTTCTATTGTATGTATGAACCAACAATGAAAAAAGAAGCTGCTGGAAACCAATGTCTAAATACCAAACAACTGAATGGAAACACCTTTATGTAGAACAGGAGCAGGGAAGGGGGTGGTGTGGGCTTTGGAGCCCAGCAGGGTGAGCTGCTTATATATTCACTGTAAACAGTTGGTAGCTGGGCCCAGCTGCTCATGGATCAGACTAGTGTAGGCTGCTCACCCACGTGCAATTATGTGTGAAGTTCAGCAAATCTAAAAATAGCGTGAGCTCAGTGCAGAGGTTAATACTGTTAATGGCTTTCAACTCAACTGTCAGGATGACAAGAGGGGGAGTAACTATGGCAACGGAAAAATGAACACATTAAAAAAAGTATTCTGAAGTTGACATGAAAAGTTTAGATTTAGTAAAACTCATTTTTAATTCCTGTCTCTAATCCTTGGATTATTTCAATTATATAGAAATAAATTTATTAGAGTTTTGACAAAACAAATACTCTTTCAGTTTTGGGTTCCAGAACCAAGAGGAAATACCACTAACCTGTCAACTGTATTGCCCCAACAGCCAGAAGGCCATTTGAACAAATGCCATCTGAGCGGCTTTTCTTTATATTTGTTCTGCTATCAGTTACAAAAACAGCCTTGAATAGTACTTGACATCTTAAGATATTTATTGCATGTCTGATACAAACAAAGGGTAAGGAATTCTCTTGAGATGAACAACTTAAGACAAAATTAATTAATATTAGCAAAGGATCCAGAGAAATATCTCTGAGACAGTTCTCACAGCCAACTTGGTAGCCTAGCACAGCAGTCCTCAAGACAAAGTGCAGATGCATCATTAAGTTCTGATTAAGCTACTGCTCACACACCTAATATTAGAGCAACATATCTCAATTCCAGCATTTAAAAAAAATCATTTGCTAAAAAATGTTCAGTTGGGTACTGAGAACTGTAGTACTGGTTCAAGCTCTTCAACTAACTAGTAGTGAGGCCTTGGATGGGTCACTACTCAGCTCTATGGCCGAAGGACTCTCAGGTTCTTCCCTGTGAAGAGTCAGTTGGGGGAAAGAGTTGATTCCTGTGGAATATCCCCTATGGGCCATGTCCTGTGCTATGGTCTAAAAATATATTTGGGCAATAAACTAGCAAGACAGATATTCTTTTCTCAATTTCATGTATGAGGACATACTTGTAAGCAGGCTGAGCTAACTGACAGAGCCTGGAGTAACCCTAGATCTGACTGATCCCATATGAGGTTGTCTCTCCTCAGACACCATTCTACCATTTTTACAACTGCCTCCTGCATGCTTCAAATACTGAGTGCTGGTTACATGCACTTAAGCTGTCCAAAGATTTTCATGAACGTCTTACACTTCTCCTAGGCACAGAAGATTAGGTTCCAAGGAATGTCCTGTAAGCTTCCTTTCATCTAGTCAACTGCTGTTAACAGTTATTTTCATATCAAATATATTCTATTTGGCCACCTGCTTTTTTGACTTAATCTATCATGAACAGCTCCTTATGTTAATGATAAAAAAGTACTTTAATCTTTATAAAGATTGAATTACTTTGTTATATTCAATCCCTACTGATGGACATCTCAGTTGTTGAAATTAGCTTACCCAGTCTTTTTGTTTCCATCAAAGTTTTCTTTAGAATCAAAGTTGCCCACAACACAGAAGCATCCTTTAATAAATCACTACTACATTTACAGATAAACTGAAATGCATATGTGGGTATCAAGATCAGAAATTCTTTCTAGCACCCCACAATGCCACTTTAAAAATGCAACCATGCTATTCATATGGGGGAAAAGATATTGTTAGCTATTTGAAGGGATTCAAACATATGCACAAAAACAAACCTAGTTTTAAGGTTAATTGAAAATTTATAGCTGGTATGGCCTTTTCTTAATTAAAGTGTTTCCCCTCCCCAGGCAATGAGAACCTGATCTTTTAGTGCTGAAAGACCAAAATCAGAGCAAAAGCTGCTTGAAAATTCTGAGCTTAAGTAAAGCTGCTTTAAAAGCTGCTGTGTACACCAAACAACAGGATTTTCTCGAGTTTCAGTAAATCTTTCTCCCAATCATTTCTTTGCTTTTCTACTTCAGTTAAAACCAAAATTAAGTAAAGCAAAGTTCACTCAGACAGCCAAAAAAGCAGGAAACACACACACTTTAACATTAAAATTACATTTAGCCAAAATGATGATATAAAATATATTATTTATATGTAAACTATCTCTTTAAAATTACCTCTTTTTTAGGCATTTTAAAATGTGGTCCTACTAAAGAATATGAGACTTATATAAATGTAGCTCTGTATGAATTTTTAGAATGATCATTAAGCATTATATAAACAATTCAGAAGGGAGTGGAGTCACATATGACAGAGGAATCACTTCTTGCTGAGATGAGAGATTCTTCTCTGTTAATCGTCCACTAGGTTTTTCCTGTTTTCACCTCTTGGGCCCTCTATCCTTGAAGGAGTGGTTGATACAGCTCAAATAAGGCTGAAGGTAGAATAGGGCCCAGCCAGCCACTTAGAGCAGTGCCTTTTCAAACCTGTAAGAGTATGTTTATTACTTGCTTAACATAAATACGGTTTAAAAGGTTACACCAAAATGATAACTATTTTTTGTAACTTGCAATGAACTCATGACCTAATGGGCTTAGAGATTACTTCATGGAGTCTGACTACAGAGGGTTCATCCCTAGCAAAGATAGGTCAATTTCAGCATCCCACCACTATTAAAGGTCTTGCTGGATTCTCTTTAGTTTCTCCTCAGAGGAGGGATGCATCTTGATTTCTTACAGTACCTGGAACTGCCATGAAATGAAATGCACAATGGCCTGCTCGTAAGAGTACATGTCTTATCTTCCTAATTTGTTGCCAAACTATAGATGCATTACACTAGAAAATGCATTACACTGGGAGAAGAAAAATGGATGCCCACAGTGTACTGAGAAATCATAATAATGGGCATGACAAAAGTTTTTGCAAGCAGCAAGGAATTTTCAAAGCAGTATAAACACAATTCAGCAGAGACCATTTCTAATACAAAACACAGAACATTTAGAGAGCTAAAGTAGTGCCTGAAGACTTTCTAATGTGACATATGTATGACTAACCCATAAACTGAACTTAAAACTTGGACATTTCTTGGAGTATAAGCGGAGAGAAGGAAGAAAAGGTCTTATTGTTCTTATGGCAGGTGGTCAAAAAACCTGTATTTAAAAAACCAAACAAACAGCTGAGTCTTCAGAGGTGCACACCTATAATCCTAGCCTACCCAGGAGGCTGAGGCAGGAGGATGGCAAATTCAAGGCCAGCCTGGATAACTTATTGATACCTGTTTCAAGATAAAAATAATAATGTCTGGGAATGTAGCTCAATGCTATAATTGGCATGCCTCACGCCCGAGTTCAATTCTCAGTACCACAAAAATAACAAACAAAAAAAAGAGGCATCATCAAAACGATGTTATTGATTATAGCAGACAGACTACCACAGCAATACAGCTGATTGATTTTGAAACCTCAATATTTGACTTTGGTTTGAGATAGACAAAGTCAGTATAGTAGTTAAGAGTTGAAATCTAAAGATGTGAAAAAAAAAAGAGTTGAAATCTACAGTCATATTGCTTGATATTTATTTCATTTCAAAATCTTCATTTCACTTTAATCTTGTGACATTTCTTTACTTTTGGTGCTTCTGTATAATGTAGATAGTAGCAGTACTACTATGGTCTGTTATAAGGATTAAACGAAAAAAATCAATGTCAAGAACTTAATATAGTACCTAATACATAGTAATGCAAGTAGCTACTATTGTTACAACTGTCATTGTTCCCTTGGCCAACAGTTCACTCACCAAGATGAGTGTCCATCACCTTTGCACAGTATTTGCACATGGCATCCAGGTCATTCAACTGCCCTTGGAGGAAGGAAATCTGGGCTTCTAATTCTTCTTCCTAAAATGAAAGGAGTAGAGATATGGAAATTTAAAGACATTCAAATAAAATCTCCAAGGTTTTCTAAATGATCTGGACCATTTTAGAGAGACCCAATCTCCTTTCAAACACAGAACAAAATAAAAGAGCAAATGAAAACTCACCACTGCCATCACCAAATCAGAAACAGCAAAATGGAGATTTTAAAAAATCTAGGCCATCAATATGTATAACAATAATGCATCCATGAAATAATGAAAAATAAAAAAATCTAGGCTATCCCTAATTGATTCTAGTTTTGTGCCAAGTGCAATTGTTTACACATACAACTTTGTGTAAAAAAAGTACACAAAATATCTTCAATAAATATTTAGCAACACACATTAAGAGGGTAACTTAGATTTCACTGAACCACAGTTCCTACACAGATGGTACAGAAACAGTCCATTTTTTCCCTCACATACATTTGGGAAACCAAGATTTCCATTTTATAAGATGAATCTCATAATTTTCTAGACAATGATAATCTTTAAAATTTGAAATTTCCCAAAGCACTTGAAAAGTTGCCCCAACAGCCCATAAATAGCTGTTCTTGTTTCCTCTCTTGACACCACACAAGAGCATTTTATTTGTTGGTTTCTAGGAAGAAGTATTCTGGGGCAAGTAATTATCTAAGTGGTAAAGGACAGTTTAACTGTAACAAAAGAATAATCTTTTTTTTTAAGAAAAAATAACACATGCAAAAATTTTCCCAAGGAAATTTAGAAGATTATGGGAGTTTTTCTCAGAAACAGAGTATAATCCTCATCGTTTGGGATATTCTAAGCCAAGTTATCTAGAATACAAAGAAAGGATGTTGCCAGGGATGGAACAGGCTAGAAAACTGATTTTCCAGTCTTGGATGCTTGTCCTTTCACATAAAAATCCTTTGTGTTGTTAATAAGAACGGAAGAAAAAATCCATGGCAGTATATATTTTTTTAAACTAATCTGATTTGTACATGGAAATTAATAGTTGAAAAGGTTACTTGTAGGTGTATTCCATTTTAACAATATACATATGCAGCACTGAAAAGTACTGTTTTTAACTGCTGCCTGAAGAATCAGCCCTCAGGAGTATGCGCTGAAATGCCTGACACAAAAAACAGACCTAATAGTAGCTTAAAAAAAAAAAAAACCCACTTGTGTGAACTGTCCACTGTAGGATTATGCAAGAAAGCACTAACCATGTTTTTTTTATATATTCTACAAAGTGCAGCAGTCTCTCCTCCTTTCCTTAAATAAGGACAAATGCCACCAGAAGCAGATCAGCCAAAGGGAACTGTGGATAGGGTGGGTAGTACCACCCTCCTAACTCTTCAGCTGGGTCATACAGAGAAAATGTTTTTGTATAGACTTGAATTTCCCTGTTCTATCAGGAACTATGAGAATTAGAAAAAGAAGGCTATGTCTACTGGTTAACTATAGTTGTACCTAATGGCAGAAGGTAACCATCAATTCCTTCCCTGAGTGTGGAGGCTCCATCATTGGGAGGTGGTATAAAGCTCCCTTCACACCCTTTCCCCCTTGAATGTGGGATTGGTCTTGTGACTTTGCTTGATCAAGAGACTGCAGAAGAAGTCAAACTGTGCCAATTCTGGGCAAGTTTAAGAGGACTGCTAACTTCTGCTTTTCCTAGAGAAGATAGCTACCATGCTGTAAAGAAGTTCAGAAGAGAATACAAAAGAGAAAAGAGATTACTTGGAGAGAAAGGGGCTACAAGAGAAGACTGTGAATGAAGTTTTTTTTGGGCCTTTTAGCTCAACCCAGCTAAAGCCAGGCAGGTGAGTGCCCCAGTCAATATCACATGGAACAGATGATTGGCCTACCAGAACCTGGTCCAAATTCCTGACCAACAGGTCTATGAGAAGCAAGGGTAGTGTTGTTTTTAGGTACTACATTTTGGAACAGCTTATTATGCAGAAATAGATAACCGAAACAGTGGTAGAATAGAAAGACACTAAATTGGGACATGGCATGAAGAAATTTAAGTTCTATTCCTGATCCTGCCATCAATGAGACATGTGATCTTCAGTAACCCTCTCCTTGCTGTGGCCAAAATTCAGTGCTCTGGAAGATGTGCAAATCAGAGGGGATTTGCTTCCAAGGATCTTACCAACTAGTAGTTGGAAAAATAAAGTTATATAAACTACTGGAGAGTGAGAGAGATTGTATGAAGGTCTTACACTGAAATAAGAAATATCACTTTGGGAATCCTTATCCCAGTCTCTGTCCTTTCTACAGAATAAGTCACCTTTGTTTGTTACAGATACAAACTCAACTGGATGAGTCTAGAACTGTATGAAGGATAGGGTTTGGCAATCTTTTAAAAGAGGGCCCAGATGCAGCCTGAGTTTCTCCTTTTATCTGGTGAGTAGCAACTGGTTGCTGACAGCCTAGAGTGGAGAAGGGTCACTAAGAATGCAGTGCTTCCTGACTGAACTCTGTTTAGTCTAGGCATTAGTTTGATTTGGTTTCACAAGTATTTCTTTCAAGATAGAAAGCCCTTGGGAGCTGGAATTCCCAGGAGTCATTCCTACCTGAAAGGATCGATTCTGTTTTATTGGCTTTCTTCTCAATAGTGGGGAGGAAAGAATTTCAGAGGACACATTTTAGAGGAGATGGGCCAAGCCTGCTGTGAGAGGCACTGGCTAGCTACAGGAAGTCTGTAGCTCCAGGGGCCTCTTCCTACAAATACTTTGTTGCTTGAGCAGGAACACTATTGTAATTAAGACTTTGACAAGAACAGGGCCCTCTAAATTGGGCAATGCAGGATTTACACATGTGTGTAGAAGTCCTGAGAGCAGAGCAGCCCATGGTACTTGCTGGGTGAAGATGTGGGGATACAGAAACATAAATTTCCAAGTTCCATTTTTGCTTAGCTCTCTGGTGGCAGTAAACGAAGAGCATCTTGCACTCCTAAAAATCCAAATGACTCAAACATAGACAAAATATTTGGCTTGATATGAATATGGTAGAAAAGGGGTCTTTTATTCATTTACATCTTCTTTTTCAAAGGAAAGTTTATGCAAAAAGCCTGATATTATAGCTGAGAGAAGACAGCTGCTCTGGTTGAAGCAGGTGGAGGAGCCAGGAACCTCTTCTGGAAGTTTGGAATCCAGTGTTATCCCTCTAGGCGTTGCTTAATCTTAGAACATTACTCAGTCCTTCCACTATCACTCAAACTTTATTAATAGAAATGGAACCACTTTGTAGGCAAAAGAGTGGCTTGTCATTTATTCTTGGCTATATTATATGATTACAGATAAAAGAAAGAGCCAAGAATCAAGCTTCTAAAATCTTGGGAAACAGGTTTACCTTTCTATCTTAACTTCTTAGGCTCCACACTCCTTCCAACTAATACTTAACATGGACACTTTAGTAATTTGTTTCTGTTAAGCTGATCCTCTGTCATCAAAAATAAATGTCTGGCTAACTGCCTTGAGGTTTTATGAAATCAACTAGTTAATGTTGTACTAGTTTTACTTGCTTATTGAGTAAATAAGAGACTTGAGAGATGTTTATTATATTCCTTCTGCACCCATGTTCTGCTTCTATCACAGGTAGGGGAGTGATAGGGCATGAGGGAATTCTGAGTAGACACACTTGGCTCCAATCTTAATTTTTGCCAATTATTAGCTGCATAATTTTGGCTAAATTCCTTAGTTTCTTGGTCCCTTCACTCCCATCTGGCAGGATTGGAAGGAAAGTGAAAGGAGAATATAGTGTCTAGCACAGAGGAAGCACTCTATAAAATAATTCTGTAAAATTTTTTAAAGTTAGGTTAAAACAGTGAAATGGACTAAGTACAAAGTTTTGTGATTCACTGTTGGAAAACATTGGTTTCTGGTTTGAAGCCTTTTATGTTGTTTAGTCCAGAAGATCAATAAGGGCTTAAGAGCAAGTACTGTCTGGGTTCTGAATAATAGCAAATTAACATGTGAGGCAAAAAACCTACAGACTTAGGAAGTCAGGCCACAAGCAGACTGTGCTGTGCAACATCACCAACTTGGAAGCCCTGTATGAAAGGATCAGAACATGAGGGCTCCTGTACCATGGAGAGAACAGCTGGCCCCCAGCCCTGCTGTAGTGATTTTAATGGCCAGGCACTGGGTTTGCATGTTCTAATACATTTAATCTTCACAACAAACCTATGAGGTAGATTTTTTATCTCTTCCATGAAACATGGCCTGCTTCTCCGTCATATTCTCTGGAAGTGTATGGTAAGGTTTACACAGCTATTTGAGAACCAAGTCACATGGCCCACTACTCCTACCACTTCCCAGTATACACACTCTTTCTTATCTCAGCCTGGGCCTCCCAATGAATGACCACATATCTCAGTTTTCTTTAACAGAGATTCACGAATTGTAATGGAGAGTACTAACCTCAAATTGTGTACTAAATTGTTTTCCTTCAAAATCATTCAGTATAATTGGCTCTACGGTTTTGTTGTTTATAGAATGATTTTAATTTTGACTAAATAATTGGAAGAAATAGCTTTTCAAATTTGCTTTTAAAAAGTAGTGTTTCTACCATTTCCTCCCAGATGATGTGCCATATACTTATTAAATTATTATACAACTCAGTTGTTTATTATATAGATTGTATATGTTGATTTTATTAAATGCTTTAACATCTTTCTGCTATTTTTTGGTTAAAATAGAGTAAGTTTTTGTATTTTATTACTTGTTCACTTATTCATCAATTTATTCAACAAATGTATTCATTTGCATTGTGTTAGGCCTTGTGGAAAATACAATAATGAATGAGACATGGTACTCTGACTTCTACAAGTTTAGAGGAAGGTATGGTCTGTAAATAAAGCCAAGAAGGGAGGAAAGAGAGTTGAATGACTCAGACATTACTGTCCTACAGGCATATGTGATTACATGACCAATGCAATTCTACATCTTGTACAACCAGAAGAATGAGAAGTTATACTCCTTATATGTATGTCAAAATACATTCTACTAACATATA